AAAATAAAAACTTTGGTATTGCTTGTTTTGCTAATTTCTCACCCAACTACTTTCTCTAATGCTTTTCATAGAACAGAGAAATACAGAACAGAATCCTTTGCTTCACTGATGAATTTATTAAACACACTTAACTTAAAGCTTAGGACAAATTATAAATATTTTCTGTCTCAGGTATAACCAGAAGGGATCTTTGGACTCTGTGTGGCCAAATAAGTCTGCTGACTAAATGGTAACCTTAGAAAATCCATGAGATATGCGGAGGGAGGTTTCTGCTAAAAAGATGTGCTATAAACCTTCAAGGTGACTGCTGTTCTAGTACCAAAGATTTGCAAAGGAAAGTAGGAGTAAAAGAACTGAGTCACAGATCTTCATGCCTTATGCTCTGTTTTTTATTTTCTTACATACTTTTTAAATCTTCGATAAATGCAATGACCAGAATTCTGGCTTTGGCAAAAATTCATATGGCTACTGGCAAGAATTGTTAAATGAAAAAGAACATATCCTGTTAGGCAAGATTCTGGAGAGGGGAAGGACTAAGTTTAAGAGCTTGTTTCTAATACTTAGATTCTTATTTAAGGACCCACAGAAGGTCAGTAATGAACAGATTATTCAGGAAGTCCATCACCCCTTAACTTTATTTCAGTTGAGGGAGGACGCTGCAAAAAAGGAAGAAAAAATATTGTTTCATGTTCAGACGAGAATACTAGCCTTCACTCTGATTTCCCAGTCACATGAGTTTAAAAGACAACTCATGTTTCTGTGCCGAGGACTCCAGAGAGTCGTATGTTTCAGAAGATTCTGCTATTGGCAAAAATCTGAGGAATTTAAAGAAAAAAATTATTATTTTTTTTTTAGTTTTACATATTTGGCTTTTGTTCAAGTTTGTCTTTGAACAAAATAGTCTACAAAAAGTGGACCTCATCATATTGTCTCAGCTTTACTTCCAGCGATGTCTAGTAGTATGGATATTGAGTTGATGGTCAAGAGGAGGAAAGTTTTTTAAAACTTATTTATTTATGCATACAAGTACTGGGGTAAAGGCCAGAGGTGCAGGGACGAGAGGATTCATAAGAGACAGAGTGGGGAACAGAACAAGAGGACTGACAGAAGAACTCTGCTGAGGGGAGCAGGGGGCAAGACAGGAGATGTCTGCCGCGTCACATGGCCTGTGATTGAACTCGTGCTACATTGGCCTGGATAGCTTCATAGTGCTGCATTTTAACCCCTTGCACCACCAGGGAGGCCCCAAGATGAGAAACTTTGTATCTGCTATACTTACTGGAAGAAAATGCATTTAACTAGGTTATTGTTTTATTTCCTAACCCCTGTGTCTTTATTTAGAAATAGGACCACTGCTAAGATAACTTGTCAAATGAAAGTGAATGCATACTGGGGTGAGATAGGATCCCATTCCAATATTACCTGGTGCTCTTTAGAGAAGACAACCAAGTGACTACAATACTGATATAGGGGAAATTTTCCAGTGAAGCCAAGGGCAGAAATTGAAGTTATGAAACAAGCCTAATTATGTCAAAGATAGTCACAAAAGCACTAAACACCAGGAAGAGGCAAGGAAGGATTCCTTTACAAGTTTCAAAGAGATCTGACTTTGGAATCCCAGCCTCAATATATATGAAAAAAAAAAAAATTCTGTCGCTTGAAGAACCCAGTTTGTGGAACTTTGTGGAACAACCCTAATATACTAGTGTACTGTATGTATTAATTATTGACTTTACAGGCAAAAGGAACTTGGTATTTTCAGTTGAAGATCTCAGATTTTTATTCCTCTTTCCTTGTTGTTAAAATGACTTCAGTTAAGCTACTTGGTGAGTCATTACTGAGGTTTTAGAAGGAAGAAAATAAAGAAGACCAGGCATTGAACCCTTAGCCATAAGTCCTCACTGCCCTTTATATTCTCTCTAGTTTAAAATCAAACCATGTAGGTAATTTTTGACCGTGAGAATCACATTACTTTCAATTACTTTGATATTCAGCTTTTATAGATAAGAAGGAGCAACTGGAAAATAAGGGGGGGTTCTTGTTTTCAAAAAGGTTGGAAATCCCTTTTGGGGACTCTAAATGGTGATAAATTTTAAACACTAACTGTTTGTATGTTGGTGTTAATACTTGTAAATATTCTTCTTAGTCTGTGGGGTAAATGCTTTTACATTTTTTGGCATAAAAATTGTTGACATGGTGTCAAAATATGTGGAATAATCCTGATTGTGACCCTGATTATTAATTATCCTCTCTGAGTCTGTCACATCATGTACAATGGAAGTCGTAACCACCCTGTGCCCTGAAGTAGTCATTTGTGTAACATACCCAGTAGGGTGCCTATCTCCTAGAAAGTTCCCAATAAATAGTAACAGCCATCATTATTCCTACCAGCCTTATAAGGTAGAGTCAACAGATAATTAAATTTCTCATCTGTCCAAAATGAGCAAAATATGTTCAGTAGAAGTAAAAGGTTTATTTATTTCTGCACAGGAATTTAGTGTCTGAATCAGAGTTGAAGTCCTAGTCTCTCATTTTCTGTTTCCAGCCCCAGTCATGCCAAATCACTTGGTAACAATCCTGTATGATAAAAAGCAAAAACAATTCATCATGTACGTAATGTAATATTTATGGACCACCTCCTTTGTGCAAAGCATTGTGTTAGGCATTGTGGTGACAGTATTGCATATTAGGCAAATGAAGAAGCTTCAGCAATCATACAAGTAAGCTTTGATTTCTTCTTGCTCTCTCCAGATATCTGAATGACAAAAAAAATTAACTTTCTCAATTCCTGATTGATCATGTTTAAAATAGGAATATTATTTTATTTCTCATTAAAACTAATTTTTAGTAAGACAAAAATATGTAAAGTCAAGGTAAGTCTCATCAGCCATTCTTATTAATGTTATTTTCTATGCTTGCTAGTTATTCTTATATCAAAGCACTTATAGTTTGGTAGGGATATAACACATCAACATGAAACAACAAGTGAGGGTAGAAAGAAATGAACGCTGGTAGACAGAATCATTATGATTAAGTATTCTGTTGAAGTAGGTGCTTCAAAACTTTTGATACCTAAAAATTTTCTTGAGGAAATAGCAATTGAAGTAGGCCCTATAATATAGGTAATTTTGATCAAATGGGGGCTGATGGAGACTTTAAAAGATTCTTTTTTTCATAAAGAATCTTTTCATATTGGGTATGGGTTAGGTTCAAGAATCCATAGAGTAATATTTATGATATAAAAATATTTTACAAATGGGTAAACTGAGACATTAGGAAGCTGAGAAGTTGTTTATGGTTATGTTTTTTAAAAGATGTGAAAATTGGAAAATAAGTCTTAGTTGTCCTTTTGTGTCTTATTTCCAAACCCAAAGCCTTCATCAAACATTGATCCCTAGGAAGTATCTTCTGGCACGAAGAATAACTATATCGTACCTTTGCCTAATAGAGTGTTGTAGGACTTTAAAAGGTCATGAAATCTTTATCAAAACACAATACTTGGGATCATGTTCTACCATTTTTCACTGCAGAATCAAACATGCTGTAAGAAGAGGGTGAGATTTTTCCTGCCATTGGCCAATGTAATTACTCTTGTTCCAAACCCCAATAGGGTAGGGATCTCAGTCATCTTTCACTGTCCTTCAAAGCCCCTAACAAGTGAAAGAAATTTGCCTTTTTCCTCTTCATGCATCTGGGTCCACCTGTGAAAGCCAAACAGATGAGTTTCTAATATCTTAAATGCAAATGTTTGCTGTTGGAAATGTCATATATGTGCAACATGTCCCACAAGGGTTGGAGGGATACTTTGGGCCCAGAGTGTGCAGAGACATCCTTTTGGGTGGAGATTTCTAAACAATCCATGTGTGTACTAAGAAGTGAAACTGGAAAGGATTTTCTCTAAATACTAGAAGCCTCCATAGAAGAGCTGGGTGGTGGGAATTGTGTGGGGAGAGCCATAAGAAGGTAGAATGCATTTGGAGATTAATGTGCACATCAGTCAAGCCCTGTAAGGAAAACCAAAGTCAGACCAGTTATTTTCACATAAAGTATCCAACATAGGAAATTGAGAGGTATGAAGTGGCAAAACAGGGAAGTAAAGCAGGAAGCCCTCTCTTAGCACTGGGGGAAGAATGAGAAATTGGCTATTTAGCATGTACAAGCGTGCATAAAGGCCCTTTGGAGATCTGCAGCCCAACCTCTGAGGTATGGTGCCTTGCAAAGGAAACTGAAACCTCAGAAACACAAAAAAGTGAGTATGTCAAGTTAGTACACTGAGACTGGTTGGTGCTGGTAGATGGAAGGGCTGCAGAGAGCCGTTCATGGGAGTGCAAAGAACCTGGAAACCAACTGGCAGTCTTGAGCTTTCATGCATGGCCCCATTCCAGGCTATTGACTCAAAATGTCAGAGTGGGCATCCCACGCAGTTATGTTTTTAAACAATATTTTCAGTTGCTGATAGCCATCATGTACACAGGTGGGCCTACAGTACCCTTAGCCTCATTCCCAAACATTTGAGAATGTTCCAAACTGTACTAAACTGATAAATGTTCTATGAATTGTCTTCAGACATCTTGACCTTTTCAGCAATTGGTAGTATAGATATTTGAATGTTTACCAGCCATAACTTTTCTCAGTAAATGCTGAATAACACTATCTGTCTAGGTCAGCTTGCCAACACTTTATTTCCAGTGCTTGCATCAACCTGGTGAATTAGCCAGGGGTAACTAATTATTCATTCACTCAATGCCCACTATATGCCAAAAAAAAAAAAAGCGCTAGGAGCAAACATCCAATTTGAATAAAAGTCAACATCACCTTGGCCTCTATGCAAATTTCATCTATTAGGAACTAGAAATTTATAGCTAAATACATTAATCAACATACAACTGTAAAATTAGGTAAGTCTTAGGGTGAAGAAGAGTGTCATTAAAGACCATCATGGTTGATTGGTGGCTATCAAGGTGGCCCTTTGCAATGATTCTACTCTGTTTCGTTCACAGTGACAAACCATCTTGCAGCATGACTGGAGCTCCTTATGATAAAAGGTAAAATGTATTTTTTTCATCATTTTTAATCTGAACTGGTCTGTGACATGCATTAGCCAGCAGAATATTGTAGAAGCAATGCTACAAAAGTTTCAAAGGTGTGTCTCCCTCTTGCCATTACTTTGTGAACAAGCTCAGACTATTTTGTTGGAGGATGTGAACTGGGATGTGAGCTGGAATGGTTTGTCCGTGTGGATGAGAGACCTCATGGAGCAGAGGTGGACTCTGAAGCCTTTCTAAGTCAGATCCCTGAGCATCTGGTCACAGATCTATAAATGAGCTCAGCTAACACTGAAACAGCTACCTCCTAAGTCGAGACCAAGCATCATGAGCTTAAAAAATGGATATTGCTTTTAAATAATTAAGTTTTAGGTTGATTTGTTACACAACATAAGGAATTGGTAGAAGTAATTGATGTGAAGGAATATCTGTGCTTCGAGATGAGTTTCTGAATTATCTGATTTCCATACTAAGTGGGAGCCTTCTAGGTCTTTCATAACTTTGATCTAGTTTGTAAATTTATACAAAGGCATTTTACAATGCTGCATGCTATGAGGAACTTATGGCAGTGCAAATGATTCTTTTTTATAGACATATAAATAAATTATGTATGTGTACCATTACCATAAAGGGAGTCATATGATATGTGTTCATTTTTTTTACTGACTTCCTTAATTTGCCATACTATTTTTGAGATTTATTCATGTTGTAGCATGTACAGATATTTCATTATGTTCTATGACCAAATAATATTCCATTGTATAGATAGCTCCACATTTTGTTTATCTGTTTAGTTATGATGAATACTTCTGCTATGCATACAAGTGTATAAAATTTTGTGTGGACTTACGTTCTCATTTCACTTGGGGCTACATTTCTGAGTAGAGTTGCTAAACTAAATGGTAAAACATGTTTGACCTTTGAAAGAAGTTCCAAATTGTTTTTCAATATGCCTGCACCATTTTACCTTCCCACAACAGTGTCTGAGCACTCCAATTTTCTACATTTATACCGACACTTGCTATTGTTTGTCTTTTTTTTTTCAATGATAGCCAACCTAATTTATATGAGTTATCTTGAGGTTTTGATTTGCATTTAACTAGACTTGTGATATTGAACATTTTTTTTATGTACTTGTTGGTTACTTGTATGTCTTTTTAGGAGAATGATACTTAATCCTTTGCCCATTTTATTATTGAATTGTTTGACTTATTATTATTTAGTTGCAAAAGTTATTCATATAATCAGGGTACAAGTGCAAATTGAATAGATGATTTGAAAATATGTTCTCAGACTACAGATTGTGTTTCACTTTTTCTTTTATTAGTTTGATACATGAAACGTTTTAATTATGGTTACATCACATTTTCGGTGTCCTTTTATTAAAATACTCGTGATATCATGTATAACACCATGCTTATCAAGTTGAGTTTTTCATGAGATATTTTTGTGTATGGTATGAGAGGAGGGTTATAAATTCCTTCTTTTCTGTTTAGACATACAGTCATCATCATATCACTTGATGAGAAGCTCATTCTTTTCGTTATCAAGCTATTTGGCCACCTTGTTAAAATTGATATACTATAAATGCTAGAGTTTATACTGGATTCTCAGCTCTGCTCCTTTGATTTTTACACCTATCCTCCATGATAAGACCATATTTAGATTTCTGTAGCTTTGTAGTAATATTTAAAATAGGAAAGTGTGTGTCTTCCTTTTTTTTTTTAATTTTTCTTTGATTATTCTGGATTCCCCACATTTCCATATGAATTTTAGTATTAGCCTATCAAGGTTAGCAATATGCCAGATGAGATTTTGATATTTTGTTGACTCTAGCTCAATGTAAAAATTGAGCCAAGTTGTAATATCTGCCTATTTCCATGATTTAAAATGCCCTGAAATGTTTAATGTGGATTCATTTTAAACAGTTATGAAAATTATTCCTTCTGGAATATTGTTATGAACACCAGACATTTCATTTTGGAGTATCACAGGGCTCATCCCTAGTCTTTCAACATTCTCTACACTCTTTTTCCTAAGCAGTGTCATTTACACCCACAGCTTCAATTACTCTCAATCTATACATCAGTGCCTCTCATATTTTTTTCTCTATCTAAGTTCCCATTGTCCAAGTTCCAGACATAGAGTCTCAATTCTACCTGCCTACTCAACATCTCCACTTACATATCTCAAAGGCACTTGTAACTCAACAGGATTGAGCTTGAATTCATTCCTTCAGCTCCCTGGCTTAGATTCTATTCTACTGTTGATCTTGATGTCATTAACAGAGAACATCTTCTACTAGGTTGCACAAGCCTAGGAATCGCTGCTTATCTTCCCTTCCTCTCACCTCCTTCTCTGATCAGATTCATCTTCTAAATATCCCCCCAGCCAGTTCAGTTCTTTTTATAGCTACTGATACTCCAAGCTACCATTATATTCCTCAGGCCATTGTAATAGCCTTCCAACTGGTTTTCTTTTTTCACCATGATTACTCTTGCTTTGTTTTCATCATCAGATTTCAAAAATCAAGTCTAATCATGTCAGCATGCTTACAAACTTGTAATGGCTTCTGTATCTCTTGAATCTTGTTAACGTTCGGGTAAAGATTTAACTCCTTCTTATATCTATAAGGCATGGAAAGTTTGTTCCTTATTTACCCTTCTACCCTGTCGCAAACCACCCTCCCCTTCTATCAATTATCTTAGTCTTCATTCATTTTATTGAATATAAAATTATCCCTGTTGCATCTTCTTTTCTATCTATCTAAACCATCTATTATCCAGTTCTCTGTCTCCTTAACCTCTGTCTCTTTTGGATAGCTAGTAATTTTTATAGGAAATGATTCACTGAATTTCCTTTGAGGCAAAGTTTTGTTATATGCATTTAGAGAACAATGTCCTTTTCCTTAGAGCACTGATGAGTCTTTAAAACATTTATTTCAGTGGTTATTTGGTTATTACTTCTCTCTTAACTGGAACACAATCTTCATAAAATAAAAAATATAAATAGTAAATGTGAAATGGCTAAGCATTTTTTTCTTGCAAATAAGACATAAAACTTAAATTATTCTGTAAAAAGAACATTTTGGACTGATGTAACTGTTAAGCTAGGTGTTCGAGTTGCAGTTTCAAGTCCAGATTCAGCTATACAAATAATTTTTCTCCTCAATTCTTGGCCTGGCTTTCTTTCACATCAACTTTGTTTTCAGAAAACATCTTGCCTTCTGCCAGAAAGAGGGCTGGGGATCCTTTCTGGTGGTGCAGCGGGTTAGGACATAGCACTGCAAGCTGGCCACAGCTGCTTCAGGGTTGAGTTTGATCCCCGGCCCAGAGGTGATCCACATGGCGTGGCAGACAACTCCTGACCCGCCCTATTCCCCTCAGCAATGTACTTCGTCAGTCAGCCTGTTCTGCTCCCCTCTCTGTCTCAGGTGAAGCCTCTCTGCCCCTGCACCTCTGGATTGTACCCCAGTTCTGTATGAATAAGTAGATCTTTTAAAAAAGAAGAAGAAAAAGAAAGAAAAATGGCTGAAACCAGTTCAGACTTGAGTTCTACTACCGTAGGTACCCTAAAAGAAAATGTTTCCCCTTCTTAATAGTTTTGGAGAAACTTCAGTCTGCCGCTCAGTGACATTGATTTGGTCACTCCCACTCTGAACAACTGACTGTGGTTAGGGATACATTATTGCTTCCAGAGTCAGAGACTGGAGTCGGGCTCATCAGGCTCATGCAAGCAATGTGAGCAAGATTTTCAGAAAGTCCCCCCCCCCAAAACAAGAAAAGGGAGAGGAAAAGATAAAAGCACTGGAGAGAAAACAGAAAATGCCAGCAATCTGCCACATAGTATCTAGCATCACTTTTACCTAATAATTATTAGCCCAGTGAACAAAGCAAGTAAGACACAGTTAAAGTCAGGAAAAGAGCTGATGAAAAGAAATGAGGGTGAAGGAGCTTGATTGAATGAATGAACTTGAACCCCATATCCATAATTTATTGCAAGGGTAATCACAGGTAACATACTTAAAAACCTTGATCTTCAGTTTTTCATCTGAAGATGAATAGTAGGCTACAGTGACAATAATCCCTAAGAATCAGGGATTTTGAAAGACATGTGTACTACTAATAAACGTAAAGTCTGTACAATTGACTAGCACAAAACAAGGGTACAATTTTTTTTTATCCCAATCTGTTTTCTTCTTCTTCCAAACTTTATTACTGCCTGTGTCATTTCTTACTTCTCCATTCTTTTTTGAGGTGGAACTTAAATTGTCTGGATATGAAGCCCTATTTTGCTAGTTTTTTCCTGCTGAAATCTAAACATTTGCCTATGAAACAGGAAAAAAAAGAGAGAAAGAGAGAGAGAGAGAAAGGAGAAAAGGCCTAACTTTAAGAACAAGTGGGGGAAATGAGTCAGATGAGTTTGACAGGTCTACCCTGCATCTTTCTTTCCACACCGCCCTGTAGAACCTTGAGCCAATAATATTCTTTCTATTCAATTCACACCTGGTTCTCAGGGAGCTATAGCTCAGAGTTAGCACAATGAACTTGGCTGTATTGTTCGCTTACCATTTCTTCCTGCTCTTCCCCTGAAACTGCATTTCAATCAATTGCTAATGTCAGCGTAGGAGTCATAATCCTGGTTTAGCGGAGCTACAAGTTACCACATCTCCATGGGTCAGAGAAAAAAGTTTGACTCTCTAAGGGAGTATATCCAAAAGCCAGACAAAGCTTTCTGTTTTCTCCCAGGCTGTGAGCTATACGACAAGCTCCAGTCCAATCAATCCCATAAACAAACTTCTTTCTTGTCAGGGGAAGAAGTTTATGCTGCGGCTAGAAGCCCGCCAGGTGATGAAGTTCTCTTAATTAATGTGTCCCCATTTTGAAGTAATTTGTCCAAATGTAGCAGACATTAGGAGTCTAGCCTGACATTCACCACCCACAACAGACCTGTACCTAGTGACTTTTTCATTAAATGACTTTTTTTCTTGTGAAATTTGA